TGTTCTCTTTAAGTGCCTCCAGGATGGCTTTATATTTGGTCAGATCCTTACACTGTACTCTCATCGCCCTGTGTGCATTTTGTTGTAAATTTACCAACTAATGAAGTATTGTTGAGCCTGTCCAATAGTGGTTGAATTAAAATTATATTTGGAAGAAAGAGTGTTGTTATTTTGTGACTTTAAATTTGCTGCATTGCATCTGTTTCCAAACCGGTATCAGAATGGCTATTATTCATAGATGAAACAGTAGCCAATTTTCCTTTACCTGGCTTTGTCATAGTCTTCCCAAAATCATATAGCCTAACAATCAGCTGAAATTGCGTTTTCATAGGATCAACCATAATCGATGCAATATTAGAGCGAGTAGTATTTTTGAAATGCTTCAAGGGAAGTACTACTTTCTTCTTAAGTCCGTGATTAGGTACGGTATTGTCAGGCAAGGTTCGCTTTGCTTTTTGTGGCAGCATCATATATGTGGTTCTTGTCTTACGTTTCAGCGAAACGGCTGAAAGCTTAGGAGTAGACACATCTACTGACACTTTAGACTCTTCATTTTACAACTGGAGAATACTCTCTTGATTTTCAAATCATACTTTTGGTTATTTGATCATCAGGATTGACATAGGTGGCAGTCACTATACTGGCGTCATCAAAAAGTCTGATTCAGTTTAAGACGAAGAGAAAGCAGAACAAGTTATTTCACCATTAATCACAAATACACCAGTATAGGTACCATCATTACCGCTTTTCTTGGCTGGGGAAGCTCGTTTCTCTGCCGGAATTGTCTGATGTTTAGCTTGCGTGGCAGAAGACATGTCTTGGGAGCATTTAAAGTTGCAGCTTCTCTGTACTCAACGATCAAAGATATGTGATCGCAGTTAGTATTAATCCGTTCACGCCTGCCGTAGCCAGTGATTGACGGTTGCAGTCTCTCAGGCAATCCGCAAGTGCAATCCACGTTACGCCCCATACATTATGTCTAAAGTTCAGATTCAGTCTCCAGCAGTAATGAACTTCGGAAGAGATATTTAAAGTCTTCTAATGCCCACACAAAATGTAGTGAGCAATAAACAACCACTAATACTACTTCGCCTTGATCATTAGAGACTTTAACGGCAGCACATTGTGCCCAGAGCCAACTTAATGGATTCATCACATAATGCTGCAGTGAAGATTTGATGATCACTACTGTTGGCGGTATTTGTAAGGCAATTGGCGTTCCACAAACCAATGCGCAGCCCAAGTGGGGTCATTGAATAGTGCAGCGTGCAATAAGCTTATCATGGCCAGAAGTGTCTCGCTCAACTTCGTCGAAATTTGACTCTAGACACTCAAACTGGTGTTAAGAGTTCTCATGATACAGATAAGGCTGTTGAGTTAGCTGATATTGCTTCTGTCGCCGCAGTTTGCACATTACGGATCTGTATCCAACGGTTTTTTCGCAAATTTGACTTGCGTGAGCTGAGCCATACTTTACGCACTGATAGTGCTGTTGGCAATACTTGTACGGCCAAATTCATGTCCATATGGAGGTCAGAACCTTCAACTGATATGCGCACCTGAGAGATGGAGCGCAGATTGCAAATCTCTTTATTGTTGGCAGCCGGCTCCAACTCTAAGTAACAAAGATTCAGCTCCTTACTGACGCGACCTACAATGGTTTCACCACACACTGGATGTCCAAGTCTGGCCAGTTTATCTCTGAGGCGATTAGCTTTCTGCAGGGATGGATGCAGTCCGCTTTTAATTGATACGATTGAAAAGGGGTTTCGCTTATACGTAAACAACCTATGTATTGTCCTGCCAATATCATTTGGCATTACACTAACACTAACCACCACCACTGCATTTGAGCATAAAGTTGTCAGACATCGTGACTGCATTTAGTGCTTCTGGTAGTCCAAAATCGTTTGTGATACCCTCACCAATAAATAGAAGGCCTTGTTTGCCAAAATTCAGCAGTGTGAACAGGCGTATCTCGGCGGCAGCTCTCAGCGTTCTGGTTCTTGTCGTAAACTAAACATCTTCATTACGAGGAGACACAGAATTAGAATTGTTAATGATTTTGTTGTTGGCGTTGTTGGTATTTTTGTTGTTTGGAGTTGTTGACATTGTGTAACGAACCTTTTGTTCTGTATATTTTAGCTAAGCTAAAATTCAGTCGAGCTGAGGGTTCGTGCAACAAATTTGTATTTGATTGCGTTTGCGATGATTAAATAACAAAGTGTTTTATGTACATATATATTAAAAATGGTTTTATTTGATCGCACATTATGATGTAGATAATGACACTTATACACTGTTAGTTTTAGTTGTGCATTTACTGTTTGCTCTGTGGTGTCTCACAGCTCATCGATGTTATTGGTTAGGTTCGATTAGGGCTCCTGTGCTCAAGAATTTGCAGCAGTCACTCCGCCCGCTAGCTATGCAAGTCCAAGATCTCGGCCTGCCCACCAGAGACTTCGTACAGCACTCCTGATGCTCACCAGAACTAGTGGTTTCCTTGTTCTCTCCAGGATTGCCCCTAGTACTCCTGTGAGTCAAGATTCGCGTGTCACACTTTCTGGTTAATCACAGGCGAAGTCTCGTTTGGTTCGCTTGGCTCTTATCGAATACCGTCTGTTTCCACAATTCAAGCGTGGCAAGGATATACGCCTCTCACCCAATTTAAGGAGCTCAATATCCCAAGTGATCCTTGTGCTGATTCTTGTATTTTGTCGTATTACGATCATACGTTTCACGCAGACTATATCGCGTTGATTTTGATCCCGGTAACTTCACTCGTTACGACTGACTCCCTTTTTAAATTCGTACAGATTCGCTTCATAGATTCGCATAGACAGCTCTCGCCTTATGCTGCGCCGCTCTTTTCATAGACTTTTGCTGGCCATTTTTTGACGGGACTGTACCAAGATGGCGTGATCTTTTCGGTGGCGTGATATTCTTTTGGTAATTTTCCACTGCCTTTTGCTGGCGCCCACCATTGTCTGCCGTCAGCGTGAGTATGGACAGTAGTATTGCACCCGCAATACTCCTCACTCACTAACGCCACATGTCCTGATGGACATCTGTGTCAGACCCACTCTAATGGCTTAAATTTCTTTTCATTATCGGACGGTGCTTGAGCTACTTGGCGTGTTTCGACTGTCATTTCGTCAATCAACGCCTTCGATAGCCTCAGCTCTCGGCCTTGTGTGATGAAGGCAGCGCTGCACCCCGTAGAGCTTGAGACGCTGGTGCTGATTGTCAGTGCCTGTTCGAGTAATGACTCATCCCAACTTTTTTGGTTATCCTTCGTAAATTGTGTGATTATAGTTGCTACTGTGCGATTCACGCGTTCAGTGGGTGCTTGACTCCAATATCCTCTAGGAATTCTTTAAATGCCCTTCTTGTAAATTGTGTGCCGTTTGCGTGTTATCAATACTTTTGGTACTCCAAACCTATAGTAGCGCTTCTGAGTACCATTTCCGTCTATTTCGAGAAACGGTACACGGCATTGGTTCCACGTCAGCATCTACTATGCTCCAGGGTTCCTCAGGGATTTGAGTCATCAATTGTCCTGCCGCGGGCAATTGACTGGGTTAATTCTGTTGGCATATTTCGCATTGATTGACATATGCGTGTGCGTTTCTGTAAAAGCCTCTTAGGCAAGTATCCTTCAGAGGTGGTCAGGATAGGGCATTTGTAACCACATTAAGATTTTCCTTCCTGTATTTGACATACAAATTAAACTGCTGCAGTTCCAGTAGCCATTTTGCAATCCAGCCTGATGGGCTTTTGATGCAGTTCAACCAATTCAGTGCCATGTGATCCGTAATGACAGTGGAGTATCCTTCCAAGTACGGTCTTAGCCTCCTTATGTCCCAGATTATCGCAATGTACTATTTTTCGGTCGCAGAGTAATAATGCTCCGCACCATTTAAAGATCTGCTTGCATACGATATGACTCGCTCGCCCTCCTCTAAGTTTTGGGTCAGTATCGCTGCCAAGCGCTAATTGCTAGCATCTGTCTGGCCTTGAGAACTCTGGGCATGCTAACACAGGCGATTGTGTCAGCTTAGCTTTGACCATTTCGAAAGCTTCTTGGTGCTCTCCGGTCCATTCCCATTTTGTATCTTATTTAAGGCTATGGTACGAAACGCATTTACCATGATGCCACTCCCAGGTATAGCCGTAGTTTCTTGACGTTTCCAGGGGCTTCAATTCGGCGATAGCAGCTACTTTTCCGGATCAGTATTTTCCCTGGGACTGTGAATGCGGTCATCGCTTGGCTCTCCTTTTTCATATTGCGAAAGTCGTCGCTACAAACAATCTGTCCTCTTGATGCTCCCGTTCTTTGGGATGCTTACTATCAAATTTGCACACTCCAAAACTGTGCTCATGCCAGACAGGAAATCCCATCCCAGAACTAAATCGTCGATGACTGCTGGTAAGAGCAATATAGATGCTCCTCCGCCCGAGTCTGATGATCACCTCGACCGGTTCTCGGACTCCACTGTATGGATGTCTGCCATACGAAGCTCCTCGTTAACGAAGCTACTCGTGGTCCCTGTGTCTATTGTAGTCTTGTACTGACAGTTGCCGATCTCTATGAGCGCTGTAAGTTGCGCTCTTTCGTCCTTAAGTGCTTCCGAAAAGCGGCTTTGGGCTGTCCTGATCGGCTTCTTTTCGCCCCTCGGTAGGGGAGGTCGGTGTCCGTTTTTCGATGGACAAAATACGAACTCAATTGCAACGTGTCCCTCCTGGACGCAAAATCTGCATACCCTCGTCCAGTGAACTTGCACGCACTGGTTCCGGCTGTGTGATCGGTAGTGGTCGGGATTCCATAGTTTCCTATGATCCGTGCTCGTGTAAATGTATTTAGTGAAGGCAACCAATTATTTGCATTTACTAAGAAATCCACCCGACTAGGGGCAGTTGTTAAGACTCAAAGATCGTGAATAAATGGAAAAACTTAAAAAACAACTGTCATTTTATGTTTTAAATAAAACCCATGAGTACCTTAAAAAGTATTTATTATTGAGAAATAAACCAATGGTTGCATACATTTTTTCAACTTGCGTGGCTTTGGCCAAATTGTAATTGTCCGTTACTAAAAATGCATGCATATCATGTCAAAATAAAAATTAATAAAACTGTGGAAGGCAAGAAAAATAGCAATAACATTTAACTTCTCAAAACCAATTTTTAATTATTTTTATTTATTTTTTGTTAATTAAGAGCTGTGACTGCTGCCTGATGCTAACGTTACCTGTGTCAAGAACGTTTCACTTAATTGAAATAATCCGATGCTTTCCGCAATATAACCCTCTATATAATGAGTCTATAAGGGCAAAACATATAGATTATTTCGAACAAGAACGTCATTGGTTAAGGTAAGTTTGAAGGCTCGTATAAGATAATGTTGGATCGTCATTCTCAAGAATTTCCTTATTATTTTCCAATAAATATCCTTTAAATTTCGTACATTGTTTAATTCTCGTGTCTGCAAGAAGAAGCGATTGCACCTTTTGGTTTGCCAGTCCGAAAAATACTTCGCCCTTCGCTTTAAACTTGACGTGAACAGGTTTCTGCTTCGAGGAGCTCTGAATACAGTTGAGCAGCTCCTGGTGGCATATGTTGGCCGTTTCTCCGAAAAAGACACCATCCAAATCATTGTCGGGAATCAATTGAAATTGAGGAAGTCCAGCATTGTTAAGGATCTTGCACGTGAATACACACTTCTTCACTGGGTCTCTGGGATGTGCATATATCCTTGTTGCCACATACCCCACGGGATATATCCAATGTGCTGTGTGAAAATTGGGATTTGTGGGTATAATCTCGCCAATGGAGTGTATGAGAACGTTGGTTAGTTTCAAGGGAAAACTCTTCTGTTGCAGTGCCGGTATATTATTCGATTTACTTTCATTCTTTTTCTCAAATGCATGATTCGGAGTTGAGGCGACGTATTTCTTTGTATTATCACGATTCTCATTCAATAGTTGATCTTGTGTGATGGAACTTTTATCGAGTCCCTCATGGAACATGAGTCTCTCAATTAGGGTCAGTCTCTCGGAGCGAGCTGCCGCCAGTTCCACTTGTAAGGCGCAAACTTCATCAACAATCGATGCGTTTTCCTGAAAAAATTTAATTTTCTTTTAATTTAGAAATAAACAATTAGCAAACGCCTGCCAACTTTTAGGTTGCATAAATACATGTACTTCTGCATGTGTGTAAATATATCTGCATGAATGCATATAAAGTTGATTGACTTACAAACACGAAATTCTTCACTCGACTTTTCAGTTTTGTGTATTTCTTTTGAAAATCAACTTTTTTTACTCTCATATCGGACAAATTGAATATTATTAAATTGTTGTACCGCATCCAGTGTGACCGTATATTTAGGTTGCAAAAATACCATTTATATTCCCTGAATACATTCAAAATGAAAACAAATATCTGTAAGAGAGGAAAGCATATATTGTGTATGTATATAGCTATAAATATTCCTGGTCAGCACCAACAGGCAATCGCGAAAGACCATACTAGCTTGAAAATTAAATATTGGAATATATTTTCCACTAATCATACAACATGTTGTACAACTACAAATCCAGTTAATTTAATTTCGATAGCTTCCCACATCTCGCGAATATAGCATCAAACTGATTAAAATGAAAATTAAATGCACAATTTACACAAAGCAACACAGCATTTATAATCATTTTGGAAGCTGCTTCACACAAATCGAAGTTTTTGGAACGATATGGGAATTTTTCAAAGATGTGAAACGCTGTATATATAAATAAATGAAAATGAAACAATAATTAATTAGCCGCTAGAACCGTTGCTCCGAAAGCAGAAATAAAACCATAAAACAAGCAACAACACTATCTCCGGTATCCGGTCATAATTTAAGGGACTCTGCAGACTCAGGTTCAAGGTAGTGTTACAACTGGTGCACAAAAAATGTGAGGAGCAAAAGTAGCTTATTCTTGCTCAATCAGAACGGCGGTTTTCTTAACGTGCTGCAAAGAAAGCGAGCTTTTACAGCTCTCGCAACGAGTCGGCTTCAGGTTTAACTCTGGAAAATATAGAAAATGAGATATATATAATAATTGAATAAAATATGTAAATAGTACTAAAGGTAATTATAGCTTAAAACTCATATATAGGTAAACATTTTAAATAATTTGATATCTACATTTTGAGAAATATAGTACCTACAAAATTTGCTTTCTCGTAAGCATTAAAAATAGACTTAAAACCAATGAATACAATTAATACTAGACAAGCAATTAAAACACATATGATAAGTAAAGAGTAGGTATAGAGGGAAAGATTAATGTGCTCAGCAACGCAGTAACGCGGAATCGATTTCAGCATTTAGAAATTTAACTATAAACATAAAATCTAGCAAAACGCGACGATGAATTACTGTAATAATTGGGAAGGTCAATAATTGTGAGTATTTCGGCTTATAGAGGTAATACACCTCAGACCAAGCGAAATTCGTTCACACAGATTCCCATCTGCTTTGGTAAATCGGATACTATATTTAAATGTTAATTTTCATTTGTAACCTAGTTATATTTAAGTCTATTGCAACTAGCGCAATAATTAAATATATAAAAAATTATTTACAAAAACAATCATTTGCTTGACTTGATTGTGAATCAAAACTATATTCTCTAGGGGATGTGCCTAAATAACTGTATGTTTTTTTTTTTTTTATTTTTGGTCCAAATTTATAGATTCAAATAGTATTGAAAGGCGCTTGGAACGACATTTAGACAGAAGAATAGGAAACAGGACGTATAAAGACGCATATCATCACAAAACAGTCAATACAATATTGTCTGCTTAGTGATAGAAGTAACCTGCTTAAATTGCCGAGTGATAGAACACAATATCTTGTACATATTGTAAAAACTTAAGCTTAACAGTCATTATTTTTCTTAAATAAATCTCTTGAAAGCTTTAAAGTTCGAGTTGAAAGTTGAAAGTAGCCAAATTGTCAAACGCATTTTAAACATTTCGTCTCAATTTTTAAATTAAAATCTAATTGTGGCATTTTTTTTTTGACCCTTTCCTAATCAATTTCTTAGAATTCTGTCGGAACTTGCAAAACCGTGTAAAGCCAAACAACTGTAACATATAATTTCTGAAAATATATATTCATTTTACTTGCGCAAAAATTTTATAGTTATATAGCAGCTGTGACTGATGTTCCCACCGTGAAGAGCGTTTCACTTCATTGAAAAAATTCCATGCGTTCCGATTGATGCCACAACGTATGATTAGCCTATATAAATGAGAATTGCGTTTTTGGTCTTTGAACAAAATTCCGCTTCATGTTGGTCTGCTACAGGATACATCGATGTTTGGTATCGATATCCTGAATCGCTCTATCCTAAGTTGTCACTGCTCAATTTTTTTTCACCAACCGAAATATATAATTTATTTTGTGTTTGTTGGGCACGTTGATATTTTGTATCTGTATTTAATTCATTATTTATTATTCAACGTGAAACGAATTCAAAACTATCTATGCATGTGCTATATTTAAAACATGTAATTATGTATATACTTATGTATGTGTGAAAAAACTGGAGTGCAATTTCATACATACATATGCATGTACATAAAAATAAAGTATTTTACGAATCGAAGAGATTTAAGTGTTCCATTTATTGATCGCATTCATATGCCTCATCATAAATATCTAGATGCATGTTTACGCTAGGGATTAAAAGGCTTACGAACGAATTAATTAGAAGTTACTAAGTATGTATGTACACACAAGTAAGGGTACATACATAACTTACATCATGCATACACGCGTAAGGACTTTGTATTTTAAAATGTAAGATGTACATAAACCCAAATGTGTATTTGATGGTTGCATTCGCGATTAGGAAACTCACAAGTTCATTATATGCATATGTACATTTGTATACGCTTATATATACATGTATGTATGTATGCAAGAAGACAAACGAATAATTTTATTTCCTGTAGCAATTTATATATATATATATTATAAGACCCTCAGAACACAATTTGAGAAAAAAGGAAAAACATGTGCACACTCAAGACTAGGTACCTTTGCAGATCGGAGTCTGCTTGATCAAACATTTAATACATATATTTAATTAAATTAAGTCAAGCGTCGCCTGCCGGATTTACCAAGCAACTCTATTACAAACATAACTGCATAACATAACATAAACCATTTGGCAACTGCACAAAACTAACACAAATAATCTGAGCACAGCGAGATAGAAATTGACAAGCAAAAATGTTTTTGTCGAAAGATCTCGACTAGCAGATACCCTGAACCCAAGTTTATATATTTAATAAGTCGTACTCCTTAGATAATCAATTGAATACGTATGGACCTAGGACAGGTAAAACAAAGTTAAGTAAAAAAAATTGAAAATCGTATTTTTCCCTATTTTATTTACCAATTTGAGTAGTTTAATGGGTCTCCGAAAATTATAGAGATTTATTACAAGCAGATTATTGTGTTTGATTTCGGCTTTGACGGATGTTCTACGTTATTTAAATTGCTTCAGCCAAAATCTAAATCTTGTAAAAGATTTTATATCTGTCCCAGAAATTGGAAATAGCAACTAAACTCCAAAACAAGTAATTCACCTATTTCGCTTTATAGGCCATTCAAATGTGTGTCCGTTTTTTATAAAATTGTATAAGAATTGGTTTTCTTCTGTTTTACATACATTCAGTTGTATCTTACTGACTAAGCTGATATATTTCGACCGTTTTTCCTGGATTTGTGAAGTACTATTGGCAAAGTTCATAACAGTTCCATTTTCTTACATTCATCTTAAGGATTGTTATTTATATTTTAGCAAAAGTTTGCTTAGCTTTGAAGTAGATTTTTTACGGTGCTTTTGCCATTTTTTTCATAATCAGGAAGATAGTTGTTGCGAAAATAAATAATAGGAAATGAAATACCTCAAATGAATACATAATGTCAAACAAATACATAGCTCCTTTGTATTCTTTAATTCGTAATAGGTCGGCTACCAGTTGATCAGATATTTATCTTCTGAGCTTCCTCAAAATTATTTTCAGACCAGTAAATGGCAACTCGCAGTTGTATGTCGTCCCAACCGTTGAGTATAACTTATAAATTTCATTTTCATCCAGATGTGTTAGATTTAGTGGATGGCCTGAATTTTAATTGAACTTTGTAAAATTTTTAAGTCCTGCAAGTTTACATTGTTCAACTTGAGAAAAATGATTGATATTTAATTCGGATAATATCAAGGTTTTTTCAAATTTGACAAAATAATATTTATGCGATATCACAAAAAATGTGCTAAATCCATTAAAATTTGGTATTGGATAATGGATCTTCTCAAACTTTTTTCGTAATTTAAGAAGACGTTCAAACATGTCCCTTTATTAAACCAGTATATTTCTAGGTACAGTAATAGATTCGACTTGCAAACCTCCAACGAATTCCATGAACTTCCTAAGGGTCACAGAATTACGATGCATTACGCAATGGAACTATGCATAATTCATTTCAGTCTTTTTAAGACTTTGCTTGTCTGTCATAATAACCTACATATTGAGCTAAGCCTATTTTTGTCAAAAAATCATAAGACTGCACTGTAGTGTATCGAATAAAGATTTATCATTAACATGAACATGAAGCGAAATCAAGTCAAAGACTTCTTCAAAACATGTCAGATTCTTATCAACACCTTTAATGCAGACATTAAGCCGGCAAATAGTATTAGTATACGTACTAGAGGAAGGGGATAAATATGTAAGCAATTTAAAACGTTCAACATAAAAATATTCAGTGCAAACCGTTCGTCAAAGGGCGATATTGTCTTGCTAAATCGAATGCAGGTTAGGTTAGGTTAGGCTATATCGGCTGTCAGCCCGATGGGCTGACACACTTAGGCCATATTTGGCCCGTTGTGATACCGAATGGGATCCAGGGATTTTCTCCTACAGTCGTGCCTCCAAAGTATTCTAACATGTCAAACATTCGCCCAGTCCGATGCGTTTATGAATTTCGCTATCTTGGCCGGTCTCATATATCGGAGCTCCGATAAACCAGTTAGGGAGTAGTTTCCCAGGATTGCCAGCTTTTTCCTGCCAAGTGCTGGGCAGAGGCAGAAGAAGTGTCCCGGAGATTCCACCTCTTCCTCCTCTTTGCGGCTTCTGCAAAAGTCATTGTATGGCACCTGGAGTCTGTTGACATGAATGCCGACCAGCAAGTGCCCAGTTAGAGCCCGGATCACTGCGGAACAGTTAGTCCGACTCAGACTGCACAGCTCTTTGCTGCGCTTGGAGTTAATGCTTGGCCATGTCTGGTGTGCTAAGCGGGCACAGGTGGCATTTTGCCATTTTCTGCATGACCTGCGCCTGTACTCCTCCTTGATATTGAGCTTACAGGTAGCTAGAGGCATACTTATACTTTCCTTGTCCGGGAGGAGCGGTAGTATGGTACCTTTCCTAGCTAACTCATCGGCTTTGCAGTTGCCTTCAATGTCCTGGTGACCAGGAACCCATATCAGGCTAATAACATGCTGTTTAGCCATCTCGTGTAGAGATTTGCGGCAGCTTGTTACTGATATCGAATTGGAAGATATCGAGCTGATTGATTTAATTGCTGCCTGACTGTCAATATATATGTTTATGTAGCCAGAGCTAACTTTGAGCCTTTCTAGGCAGTCTATAGCTTCCTTTATGGCCAGTACCGCAGCTTGAAAGACACTTCAGTGTGTTGGAAGGCTGAAGGATAACTGTATGTTGAGTTGCTCGGAGTAGACTCCTCTGCCTACACGGTTGTCTAGCTTGGAGCCATCTGTAAAGAAGGTTATGGTTGCCGGTGGACCGGGGGTACCATGAACCCATTCTTCTCTTTGAGGGAAGTATGTATTGAAGGGTGTTCCTAGTTGTGTTACTGGCACGCAGTAATCTGTTTTAGAAGGGATGGTCGGATAGAGGCATGACCAGTACTCTGAGTAGCCCAGGCGAGGGATTCTCTGAGTCTTATGGCCGTAAGTGTTGCATTTTCCATTCCTTGCCTTTCCAGACACGGAATGTCCAGGATAGCGTCAAGTGCCTCACTAGGTGTAGTATGAAGCGCCCCTGATATGAATAGTTCAGCCATACGCTAAACTTTGTTTAGTTTAGAAAGGGTGGTTTTCTTTTTAAGACAAGGCCACCATACTACGACGCCATACAGAAGTATAGGTCTGACTATGGATGTGTATAACCATCGAACGATATTTGGGGACATACCCCATTTCAGCCCAATAGATTTTCTACACGTATATCGGGCGAATGTTGCCTTTTTAACCCGTGTTAAGATATTGAGGTTCCAGTCTAGTGTCAATCCAAGGAAATTGGCACTGTTTTTGAAGAGTAAATTCACATTATTTAGTCTGGGTGGGACAAAAAAAGGGACCTTGTAATTCTTTGTGAAAAGAACAAGTTCCGTTTTATTTGGGTTTACCCCTAATCCACTCTCTTGTGCCCAGCATGACAGTATTTTTAGTTTACTAGTCATGTGGTCACAGAGAGTTTGTGGGTATTTTCCCCTGACAATTACCGCAACGTCATCTGCATATGCAACCGTTTTGCAGCCGCCCCCCTCCATGTCCCGCAGCAATTTGTTAATTGCTATGTTCCATAGTAGGGGTAACAGGACGCCTCCTTGTGGCGTACCTCTGCTTAGGAACCTGGAGAGAGTTGACGACCCCAGTGTGGATGTCACAGTCCTGCAAGTAAGCAATTGACGGATCAGTCCCACTAGACCAGTGTCAATCCCCAGGCTCAGCAGAGCTCCAGTTATGGCTGCCGGAGTGACGTTGTTAAAAGCGCCCTCAATGTCGAGAAACGCTATTAGGGTGTACTCCTTATGAAGTAAAAATTTCTCTATAATAGAGACCACAGAGTGAAGGGCAGTATCTGTGGATCTGCCCTTCCTGTAGGCATGTTGGGACTCCGACATAAGCCTGGGGTCAATGGATGCTGTGAGATGGAGACTTATAAGTCGTTCCAGGGTCTTTAGCATGAAAGATGACAGACTGATGCGTCTGAAATCTTTGGCGCTGGTGTGCGATGGCTTCCCAGCTTTGGGTATGAAGGTTATTTTTGACTGTAGCCATGTCGGTGGGATGCGACCAGTCTTCAGAATCTTCCCGAAGATTTCATGTAGCCAGTTTATGGCTGTATTTCCCGCCTTCTGTAATTGGGCTGGGCTTATTTGATCAGGGCCTGGGGATTTGAACGGCTTGAAGCTGTTTACTGCCCACTGCCCACTGGTTTCTGCGTACCTTGGGGACTGCTCGGAGCAGCCAGGGAAGTGTGTTTTAAGGAGGATGTCCAGTGACTCTTCACTGGAGACCGACCATGAGTTGTCATCCTTTATCAGATAACCTAGTGTGGGTGTGGTTTTTGATAAAACTTTCCTAAGCCTTGCAGCTTCAGTAGTTGAATCAATATCCGTGCAGAAATCTCTCCAAGATTTCCTTTTTTCTCGTCTGGTGGCTTTTTTGTATTTAGCCAGACTTGATTTGTATTCTGACCATTGCTGGTCATTATTTTGCGCTTTTGCCGCATTGAAAAGAGACCTGCAACTTTGTCGAAGGACATTTAGTTGAGGTGTCCACCATGGTGGTTTCCTCTTATGCATTGGCTTACTGATAGGGCAAGCTGCCTTAAAAGCCTTGTTACAAGCTGTAGTGAAAATCTCTGTGAGGTTGCAGAGATGAGCTAAGTTGTCCGGGCCTTTCGGTGGGTGTTCCGAAAGGGTTCGGTCAAGATTGGCTTTGAAGATTTCCCAGTTCGTCCTCTTCTGATTTGTGAAGT